TGGATGTAAGCTGTTAGGTATGAGTGCTAGGAACCAAAATTTTGTGCTCTGGAAGAGAAGCAAATTCCCTTAACCACTGTGTTATTTCTCCAGCTCCATGAATTGTTTTCATTCTCTAGTTTACAATTTACAAACAGAATATGTAAGGTACAGTTGAGAAATCACTAATCACTTCAGATGATTGATTTTGCTTCTAAGTTATTCTAGTACTGTTAGAAGCTCTTTAAATTTATAGTGTATTTAGCCACTTTTGTACACTGAAAAAATACATATTCACATTCCAATAAATTCACAATATAACACTCTGAACCATAACCAAATACCATGTAGTTATTAATTATATGTAATAACCAAGTGTAATATGTATATAATAATATGCCTAACATCTTATTATTCAAAACTTTGTTAAAACTAATACATTTTAAAATTTTAATATGTGTCTGTGTCAAGTGAAATTTAAATAAAATTTCAAAGGAAGGATTCATTTTCTAATAGACACAATGACTAATACAAACACTGTAATACTGACTTAGTTAATTTGTAAGTTAAATGTGATTCCAGCTAAAGTATAACTATCTCAGTTCTAAAATTAATACAAATAAGAACAACAGACACAATACATACATACATATGTCAATATGTATGAAGGAAAATTTTGAAGTGGTGTGCAGATATTTAATCAAGGGAAGCCAGGAACCACTCTCCTGAGACCGTGATGCTGCAATTGGAAAAACGAAGATTAAGAGCCAAAAGGGTGAAACTCTTTGAAAGTTGGATTAGTTCCTTCTTCATTTCTGTGGTAAAATATCATGACCAAAGCAGCTTCCTGAGAAGTTTATTTAGGGATTATGGTCCCAGAGGGATCAGAGTCTCTCATCATCATGGCAGGAAAATGTGAAAACAGGTTAAGTATAGTGTCAGCAACAGCTGAGAGTTTACAACTCCACCCACAACTGCAAACAGAGAAAACAAACTGGAAACGGACTATGACTTTTGAAACATCAAAATCACCTCTAGTGACACACTTCCTCCAGGAAGGCCACATCTATGCCTCCCCAAACAGTTTCACCAACTGGGAAGATAGTCTGCAAAGGCTTATAAACTCAAATATATGGAAACACCTCACCTCAACCAGCAAAGACGTGAAAGATGGATATTAAGAGAGAAGCATTTGCAGACATTTTAATTCATATTAACACAGATAAATATGAATGTCACTTAGGGGAAATACAGCACAACTCTGTATCCTCACTTATATCTATATATAGGAAAAGCACATGGTACCTAAAGCGAGGCTGTGTGAGTATTGCTTCTGAGATGGATGCTTATTTCCAATACCCTTGTTTCGGGATCGCTAAAATATGTAACAAGAAAAGATTGTTCTTCATTATTGCACTGAAATAGTGTGAAAATATTGCAAGCATTTTTTCTGAGTCTTTCAAATCAACATACATGCATATACATATGTTATTTCTCACTGTTAGTGTGCATCAAGCTTTGAGGCACGATGTGTCTGCATGAACAGGCTTCAGTGGTCTCTGGAGTTCTGTTTCTGACGGTGAACTCTGTAGAGTCCAGTGAGGCATATTTACCAGTCCTAAAACCTAGAGGAAAAACTGCGAACTCACCAGTGCATTTAACTTTGAGTGAATCATCACTATATTCAACTCACGTATCTCAGGTAATAACAGAACAGTTTATTATCATCTCAGGTGCAAATTGCTGCCAACATTTCAGGCATCTGGGCTTCTACAGGGCAGTCAGTACACAAGCAAAATACATGGATAAAATATGGGACTTGATTCAGCTTTGTCCTCTTTTTCTATTAAGGGATGGATCACAATTTTTTTATCTGTTTATGAAAAGTGATTCTGCAAGTTTATTGACCTTAGAAAGCTTTCAACTTTTCCTAACCCACATCTATTAGTGGACTTACTCAAATGGATACCCAGGTGACATCTGATAATAGGAAATTTTAAAATGTGTATATAATAAAATTTTTTAGAAGTTAGCACCTTTCATTTGATAAGGGACAATCAATATTTTAAAATGTGTAGTTCATGCACTCTTAAGAAACACTTGATTGGGATACAGAAAGTGTGGAACATTTATACATAGATAGGCATGGTCACCAGTCAAGTGATAGGGCCACTCACCCATCTCTAAGTTTTTAACCCAGAAATGTTCCTGTCCAAAGGAAAGAGAGGAGCAAGAAATGGAGCTGTGTCTGATGGAAGGGCCATTCAGGGACTGTCCCACCTAGGGATCCATCCTGTCTGCAGACACCAACCTCCTACACTGTTGCTGTTGCCAAGAGGCACTTGCTGATAAGAACCTAGTACTGATGTTTCTTTGCAGGTTTTGCCATAAACTGACCAATGCAGATGTAGGTGCTTGGAGCCAACCATCAGACTGAGCTGGGCACTCGGTGTTGGAGCTGGTGGAAGGACTGGAGGAGCAGAGCGGGATTGCAAACCCATAGAAAGGACAATGCCAGCTGACCAGACCACCCAGTGCTCCCAGGAACTAGACCTCCAACCAAGGAGAGTACAGTGAGGGATCCATAGCTCCAGAAACATAAGTAGCAATGAATGGCTTTGTCTGACACCAATGGGATGGGAGACCCTTGTTCATGTGGAGGTTTGATGCCCCAGCATAGGGGGATGCAGGAGTGGTGGGGCGGGAGACAGTGGGTCTGTGAGGTAGCACCTTCATAGAGGCAAAGGGGAGGTTGTGGAGGGGTAACCAGGAAGGGGGATATCATTTGAGATGTAAACAATGGAATAAATAAAAAAAGAAAAGAAAGACTTGATTCTATTACTTGGCAGTTAAGTACTAGCTCTCAAAGCATAGGATAGATTCACTTTAGCTTGAGATGGTGAAAAATGGAGAAGTTATATGAGGCACTGCACAACATTTGTACAAATTGAATGTTTATTTTCAGTCAATATGTTCTCCTATTTCCACTGCTAATATCAAATTTGGCACAGTCATGAGGAAAGAGGTTAACAGTAGAATTAATGATCCACCTATTATTCTTTGCATTTGGTAACACGCTATCTACAAATAGCAAAGTCCAGACACTAAATTTAGATTTGATCTTGTTTTGCTTGCCTAAAAATTCAAATGATTGTAAACAATGTTATTTGGTAACACGCTATCTACAAATAGCAAAGTCCAGACACTAAATTTAGATTTGATCTTGTTTTGCTTGCCTAAAAATTCAAATGATTGTAAACAATGTTATTTACTCTACTTTTGAAATTATTTTAACGTGATGGTGAAAAAAGTTAAACGTAATTAGATTTAATATATTTTCATAATGAAGAAATGATATCAACTGCCTTTTATTCAAACAATTTTCTAGGGATCCAATTGTGACAATGTCATGTTAAGAAGTGATGGTATTTTGTCAGCCTTCTTTTGGTTATTCTCTGCCTTCCAGGAAACTCAGAATACCAACTCAATTAAGTCTACCTTGTGGACAAGAAATAAGGAAGAGGTGGCTCATATTAGACACTGATGAGCTATGCTGCAACATTTTGCAGAATGTTTACTTATAAATCCGAGATTTGGTAGACACTTATCTTCTTTCTATTATCTTACCTCACAGGCACGTGACCTCTTGGTATATTTATGTTACCATATGTTTGATCTCAGCTTCTGCAATGAACTTTATGTTTATGTCCCCTCAAATTTACATATTTGGTAACCTTTGATGATTTGGGATTTAAGAAAAGGGTATCATTGGAAAGGGATGTGTCTTCAGGTGTTTGCAACTGATGATATGTGGTCCTTTTGAAGGAGACCTGAGTGCTCTCTTACTTCCTGTTTGCCACATGAGAAAAAAAATAAGAAAACAATAGTTTGCAAAGAGGAAGAGAGCCACTAACATGACCTCAGTTGCTTATATTTTCTAGGACACACCTTGCTTGTCCTACCACAATACAAGATGGCCAAACAAACTTTTACTTTGTTTCCTAGATATTCACTCTTTTATCCTAAATGTGATTTACAAGGAAGTTTTCAGTTGCTCCTCTGAGAAAGTATCAGTAATACTGTTCTTCAGTCTGTGTGTGAGTTGTAGCAGTTAATGGCATTGTGAACTGTCAATGCATTATTAAGTATCAAAATGTTAATTTTATTATTCAGAATTCATTTTCAAACACAATACTTGTCTTCAAAGGGAGAATGTTTTAGGTTAATAGTGAGAGTTACCAAAGTCTCATTAATGTTAGTTACAGGGAAGAACAATTACAAATGAAAAATCTGCTGAGGAGGTCAGGAAGATGCCTGTTAGAGTTACCATTAAGAACATTATTTTTATAAGCACATTTACAGGGCTAATATAATATGGTGCCTTTGTAGGAATTTTAGTTTATAGAAGATCAAGAATGTATAAATAAATGAATATTGTATGGTTTGTTATTTTTATACTATATAGTGTATTTAATATATTATATCCATATATATTAATCACCTTGAATATATATATATATATGTGTGTGTGTGTGTGTGTGTGTGTGTGTGTGTGTGTGTGTGTATATGCTTACTATATATATATATTGGTTTTCCTCTAGACTCTAACATCTTTAATAAACACAGACTCATTATTCTGTTGGAGGTTTGGACTATATTTTTATATTTATGGAAATTAATATCTACCAACCACAGAGGAAGAGGGTGGTTCAGTAAAAATCCATCTAAGAACAATGTCCCAAGAATCATCTTTTCTCTTTGTTCCTACAATTGGACTTTAGGGACACTATGTTATTTCTCCTTAATAACAACACCATGTGTTGTTTTAGTGTCACATTCATTTTGACATTCTATTAAAATGCTGAATAAATACATGGCTGTGCATCTTCTCACACATATATTTCCATGCACATATATCATTTCTTTAAATCACAACATATCCGAACTTTGTTTCCATTGAGAAAGTATTTTATGTTTCAAAAGAATTACACTTTCTTGTTTTCTTTATTTAGGCACATTACATATTTCAGAATTGGGATAAAAGGGAAGTAACCATACAAGTCAGAAGCATTTTTTCTGAACAATTCTGGCAATTTAATAAACCATGAGGGTAAGAGAATTACCTAGTTTATGTTTTATAATTTTATAATATTAAGTATTTAATGTATTTGCTGAGTAACTTATACTCTTCTATTCATGAAAAATGTAAAAGTAGGAATATTGAAAATGAATAAATGTTCTGTTTCTCATTATTTTATTTTCTGTCTCCTTTATTATTTATTTTTTGTTGCTTATGCTACTACTCCTTATGGTCTCCAATGCCTATTTTAATATCTCCACAATTGATTATGTAGAAAATGTAAATTCCTTCCTGCCCTGGATGCTTAATTGCTCTTTTTCAGCTGCATAGTCATCTAGAACTTCCACTTATGGTTTTAATTACTACTAATGTGTTAATGACAGTGCTGGCAGAGAAAGGCCATTTTTAAGACTTTTTTTTAAAATTAAAGTTACTGGCCCCAGCTGGTTTTTAATAAAAGCTGTTACCTTTATTTAGGTATTGTACCATATTTGGGATTCTTATAATTTTTAAAATCTTAAATGTTTAAGATTGTGTTTATGGGCTGGAGAGACGGCTCAGTGGTTAAGAGCACTGACTGCTCTTCTAGAGGTCATGAGTTCAAATCCCAGCAACCACATGGTGGCTCACAACCATCTGTAATGAGATCTGATGCCCTCATATGGGTGTCTGAAGACAGCTACAGTGTACTTACATATAATAAATAAATAAATAAATAAATAAATCTTAAAAACTATTAAAAAAAATTAAAAAAAAAAGATTGTGTTTATATAAATTCTGGTTTTCTTAATCAGAAAAGAATAGTTAATGGTATTATACAGCCATGAATTTACTTAACCTTAGTGTGCATATACACACAGACACACACAGACACACAGACACACACACACACACACACACACACAAGCACATAAAAGAAAATCAAAGAAAAGAAAAGCAAGTTTTCATTAGATGCTAGGTACCAAGTAGAGTATATGAAAGAACACAGCAACAGCATAGCTGATGTGTACATGAAAGAATAGCATACAATGTCTGGTTTCATCTATATACAACCTGCAATGATTGCTAGCTTCTTTTAGCTGTAACAAATGTCACAAACCACGGTTTTAATGTAGAGATCATGCCACAATCCTGTTCCTTTTGTAATGCTTCAACAAGGCCACTATATATATTTGTATTACCCTCATTACTCTATATCCTTGCCCCTATTCCTGTATATTGATGCATTTTTAACATTTCTGAAAGAATTTCATTTTTTAAATTATTGTTTTGCAGATGAATTCTGTACATGTTCAGTCAAAGCACTATGTCTTTCTTTAATATCCATGCATCAATTAGTATTTATTTAATGCCCATTAGACTGTTACACATTATAGAAAAAATAGATGAAAATAGATGCTTGTCTGAAATCTTTTATCAGACTTTTGATGAAAGAAAAGAGAATATGCATGTCTCATTGAAGTCTGTAATCCATTTATCCATTCCTTCATTCATGCACGCAAAGAACATTTACTCAGTGCCTCTTATGCATTTAGGACTGTTATGGGAATCATATTTTATTTTCACTAAAGCACTCAGGAAGGTTAAAGCAGGCAGTATAGGAATAGTATATTTAATAAGTAAACCAATACGGCAAGCATTCATTGCTCTGTGGATAGAGAAAATGAAAATTCAACTTAGTGCAGGATGTTAGAAAAATTACATACAGACAGAAAGCATGGTCATTTTCAAGGCTATTGTATTTGTGCATGTGAGAGTCAGATTCATGTAGTGATGTGACATTGTCAGGAATCTTAAACTTAGACATCCAAAATAAATGACTTATACTCCCAGCTTTGTTTACATCTAGCCCCCTTCTCTGCACACATCTGTTTTCTTCCATTTTTCATTACCTCACCGAGTTGGAATGCCTGTGCTTCTATTTGGCTCTATAGAAATTCTTGATATCTTTTCTTTTCATCTCTTGTCAATACAAATTTTATGGAGTCTATCTCCAAAATCCCTTTCAATTCTGTCTAATTCTGTTTATTACTCAGCCTGCCTCTACCATGCTTCGACTTCAGCTGTTATGTGTCTCCCTGTTTGGTCTCAGTTAAATTTCCTTTTCAGAGATACAACCCCACCCTGAGGACAGCCTCTAGCTTGATGACACCTTTGATAGTACTATATTGATTGTCAGTGATTCACGTTACTTTGTGCTTACACTGAAAGTTAAACTTTCAAGAGATATAAAACATCTATGATGGTAGAATAGCAATCCATATTTTTTCATAGTTTTTAAAGTGAGATAAATTTAGAGAGTTTTAGTAAAAACTCTCTAGTTCTGAAGAGTATTCATAAATTATATTCTAATCTTGGAATGTAGGAAATGGCTAAACTTTCACCCTGTTTATTAAAGAATTCACATGAAAAGACAAAGACCAGAACAACCGTGAGCATTGTAAGCAAGATCACTCTGACTGAGAAGGTGTCCCTAGAAGAAATCCACACCATCCTACTTCTATTTCAATTAATCATCATAAACAATTTCAAACTGTCACAACTGTCCTCCAGACTCCAACTGTAGCAGAGAGTAGGCAGCTAATTCTATTTATTTCATTACATAAATTAATCTGAGCATAATTTTGTTTTCATCAGACCTGACTGAAATGTTTCTGCCTGTTCTATAAAATACTGATTATATAATAGAAAAATCCACAGGAAGGGGAGCACTTTGAGGTTTATGCTGTAAGCACAATATACATAATGCCTGTTAAATAGAGAAACACAATGATTCCTCCTTATGTATAAATGGTATGTTCGTAACGGTTTGTAAGTAAAGAACACTCTCACCACTAGAGGTTTGGTCTGCATCCGGTCCATTTCCAGTTTTTGAAAGGTGGTTGGATTATATGGCACTTGACCAGAGTAATAGATTTTTCCATGTGCATATAGTAATTAAATATTATTATTGGTATGTGCTGAAGATAGCAGGTTTTAAGGAAGTCAGTCACTGGGGTCATGCTTAGTTTAGCAGTTCATACCAGCTCCCTCCTTTCATTTCTAAGAGATGAAGAGCAAACAACATTTATAACACATTCCCGCTACCAAAGGTACTGTTCTTGATCCCAAATCATAGAGCAACATATTCAGAAAATCAGAGTGGAAACTAAAACCCTGAGCCAAAGGATATATTTTCCTCTCGTTTTCTCAAGTATTTTGATACAGCAATGTAAAATTGATTTCAAAAGTATTCCAACATCTAACCATCCCTAATGTATGTCTTGAATCATGCATAGTATGGATCTCTTTAGCTAGTGACAACTTTCCCTACTCATTTTGACTATAGACTGTAGCAATATCAGTATATATTTTCGTTATTAATAACATTAACTTTTTCATTTAAAGAATATTCTTTATAGGTTCTTTTTGGCATGTTCCTAATGCTTAAATTAGCTCTTGTTCCTAGGGTTATTATCAACCTAAGTAATACCTACTTGAAGATAAGCAATGCAATACTCAGTTCCTTGAAACTGAGGTAGCTCTTAGTGATTAACTAATGTATAGTCTATAATGGACGTATTATGGTTCATATGGTTCATATCATGTGAGAGATGGAGCAAAACATCACAGTATTTCATCATGCTACTAAAAATAGGACAGAATTTCAAATTAACCAATTGTTTATTTATAAATTTGCATATAGCATTTTGGACTAACGTTGACAATACCTAGCTGTAATCACAAAAGCAAAATCATGGACTGGGGAGACTAAAGTTAATCAAATAAGAATTAAGCTCCACCTATAAGAGGTTCTTAAATTTTTTTTTGCTAAGGTGTTTTCAGGTCTATGAAACAAAGTGGTGGGAAAAAAAAGCAAATATTAGTTCAGGCTAGCATGGAAAATTTAGTGACTAACCCCAATCCCTAAAGATTTACAGCAGGCCAAGCAGAGACAAACACTCTCAAAGAAATATCTGAATCCACAATGGTTGCCCAAAGCATTACTATAAAGCATACTTTAAGTAGACCTTGAGTCAATTGAAGAGCAGTATATAATTTCTGCAAAATAAAATAGTGTAGAGTTGATAAATATAAGATAAGCATCTTTGAAGGAACAGAGAAAGAGGACACAATTTATGACACAGAAGTGACATTAAAATAGACCAGAAGATTGAGCAGCCGTGTAGCCAGTGTTTGCCTTTACCTTGACATTTGTTTATTTTATAAGTTGTTCTACTGTGACTGACAGGCACAAGGAAGTGATCCATTCAGTCCTTTTTGAGCAGATAGAGCCTCAGGACTTTCATCTTTCTGCCATATCATCCCTTCTTAATCCACTTCGTCTGCATTAGACATTCTGTTTTATTTTTACCAAGATAAAGAAATACTTGGGAATAACTAACTGAATGCATAGTAAATATACAACTACCTTTTCATACATTTTTAATATTTCTCGGTAGTATCTTGAGGTGAAATAATTTTCTGTTAAACTAATGCCAATTACTGAAACCCATACTGAAATATTTGTGCATTCACCCATCTTTGTGAGAGACTGTATAAGATCTGAGATTGGTGTCGAGTGTTTAATTTTTTGTATTCTCTTAAACACTATATTTTCTAAATTTTTGTATATATGCCTTATTTCAGAACATCTGCAGAAAATAATGACCAGGAATGTTAACACAATAAAAGAATGAAAGAATATACAAACAAGCACCCCAACTCATTATACTCATTTAATATTCTGAAAATTCTACTGCTGTGTATTTGGGATAGAGGGTTGATACTCATGTATGAGGCTCACATTCATATGTAGACACATAGTACAGAAGTTAATATATTTACTGTTACATACAATGAAAATCTATATTTTTTGATAGAAGTATCATGCATACTATATACTTGTGACGGCTTGAATTATAATGGCTTCTATAGGCTAACATTTTTGACTGCTTTATCACTACATAATAGATCTACTTGAAATGATTGGAAGGATGTAGAGATGTGGGCTGGTTGGAGGAAGTGTGCCAAGGTGGGGAGGCTTTGAA